GGCAAAACACACTCGCGCCGCATATCGTCGCGCTGTTTCTTTGTGTTTGGCTCGGCGGATGTTGCGAGAAACTGAAAAAAAAAATCAAATCCGATTGCAAATACGACAGCTGTCTGGCCCCGCGATGCAGAGTATTCTCTTTCCAACTTCCATAAAAGCTCGCTGTTTGCGAATGGCTACGGGCTTTTTTATTTGACCAATCTCTCGCTTTCTAGAGCATTTCAAGCTTTTTTTTTTTTGGTTTTTTTTTAATGCAGACCTCTCTCAGCATTAATCTCCGACTATTTACGCTGCTCTCGAAGCACTGCGCCGCGCTCAGATTCTGTTTGATTGGCTGGTTCGCGAAATATATCAAATCCTTTTACCAATTCCATTTGACCGAGGGCCATGTACATCGATCACGAATTTTTCCTTCCTACGGTAAAGTTGAGCTACCGGGGCTAGCAATAATACATACGGACGAGTACACGAAACCAAGTGGATGTATACGACTTTTTCTTTCTCGTTCCCTTTATTAAACGCGCCTGAGTGGCGCGCTTCCCTTTGTGACGCATCAGCGCGTGGTCTTGGCATAACCTTGCATCCTCCCGAGACGTATACGCGCGCTTTATGAGTGCAAGGTGCAGTGGTCGATCACGCGCACGTGCTTTCTTCTTATTTGGGTCGTACTACGCAGTGTTTCACTTGTTACCTACTTTATTCTTTACGAAGGTTTCCCTTTCTCCCTCTTTCTTTCTCTATACCCACACTGTTTATATTAAGTCTCTATTACTTGCCAATCATTTCATCGACGTCAACCGTTATAGATTGACAAGCCAACAAACTTTGAGCTTTTCAAATAAATTTTGCAATGGTACAAACGTATTTCTTATACCCTTTGTTGTTATATTTACAAAAGTGTTCATAAGCAAATTTGTTGCCCTTGTGAGACACACGCAATTCGAAAAAAGTAAAGGATGTAGGTAGCAAGCTCTCTTTTCTGCGCAGCCTTTAATTTAGCGTCAGATAGGTCAAAGTGCTATAGCAGAGAAGAGGTGTGGTCTAATTGCCTTGAAAATTGGCGAACATTTCCTTTGTGGATTGATTTTACTTGGACAAACAACGCTGAATTGCAGTGATAATTGTTAAGACTTCATTTGTCTTACAAAATTTATATCTTTACCAAGAATCAAACTGTAGATTTAGTTTTAATTTCAATTCATTATGCTATCTCAGCAGTTCTCTAATTAGGATTAGTGAAAAAGTTACAATAATGATTAAAAGTAACATTTTATTCAAATTCTTGCCGATGTTAGAACTTGAATCATCACGGGCGTGGTTTAGAATTTGTTGGTAATCAAATGATTTCTAAGAAATAATAAGCGTCAATGGTTCGATGAAAAATGTACATGGCTATATTGGTGAATAGCGGGATGCTCAGTAGTGTAGGAATAACTATTCTCCATGCGATAAAAAAGTCTATATTTGATTTTTTAACTGACCTTAAAGTTAGCCTTGCGTTTATAAATACGATGACGTCCTACGAATCGGATAAAGCTTGTGATTGCTTTCGTGGTGGTATATATATATATATACCGAATACACATATACAAAGTTAAAAATTGGAAAAGGAAAAATACTGAGCGCTTATCGAAGTCAGCTTCGCTCGTATGCCTGCACGCGCTTGTAACTGTAAAATTGGAGGAGAGTTGTTGCGCAAAGAGAGAAGGAGAGAGGTCTGCAAGACGCGCGTCCTAGGCAACTATTAAATTCATAGCATTAAGTCAGCAAGCACGCAATCATAACGACTAAATGCTGCAACGTCAGCTTGCCGCGAGCTGCAAACACCTTCGAGAATGAGAGAGAGAAAGAGAGAGAGAGAGAGAGAGAGAGATAGTAGGCCGCGCGGTAGGTAAAAGCACCTGTGTGCGCACTGAGTGCGCCCATAAAGATCCGGTGCAGCACATACATCGCTTGCGCATACGGCTTGGCATATACCGGTTCCTGCTTATCTTTCTCGCTCTCAAGTCTCGCTCCTCTCGGTTCTCTACCTCTCCCTACTCTCATTGCAAACGTACCCTCTTGCAGTCGCACATAATCAAGGATAACTCCGTCGTTGCGCTTTCCTCCGTTCGCATTTCAAGTTTTGCGCAAATTTTGCTCGATTTCGGTCGAAATTTGCTGTTGCTACGACTGATAAGTTGCATCCGCATATATTGCTTGATAAATCTCTCCTTTCTTTCGATTATATTTTATTTTTTGCAGTACGCGATGTTTCCTTGACAATTTAATTTTTACTTTCGCACGCCAATGTTAACGAGCCTGATAACTGATAATTAATTTTAAGTCTATTCTGTTTTGGAAAATAAGTCTCATTTCATTATTAATAAATTACTTATCATAAAGAAAAATTTATACACACGTGTATTATACATTAGAATTTGTTTGAAACGGTAAACTAAAAATTTAAGTGTAACTTTGTTTTCTTCGTGTATGGAAAAGCTGTTTTCAATAAGTTGCTAATAAAGATTGGAAATCTTGTGAAAAATTCCACTTTGAAAATAATTGACTTTGAAAAGATAATAAATTATTCACAAAATACGATGAGGCGTTTAGTTCGATAAATTCATCAACTCGGGAATGTCAACTATCCAATATCAATTTGACGAAGTTGCACATGCTTGTGCTTGTTACTACAGAGTAGTATCGTAGCATCGATTGATGTGAATTCTACAGGAAAAGCGTGTTTACGACACAACGGCTGTCTTGATCGTCGACAATATAACTATACATTGCGAAAAATATTAAAGGCGCTGTGAAGTGCTTTATTACGGGGACATGTGAGAAATTGTATAAAAAAATATTATAATCAAACAATATTTTTTTAATGTTCAAATTATTTGCATTCTCTCAATATTATGAGTTCTTGTAATACTATAGTCCATCCTCTGCTTTCTAGTGGTAAAGTGAAACCTCGATAATTCGAAGACCTCGTGATGTTTCCAATTTTAAGCCTAGATTTTTGAGAGATTTTTGCATATATTTGTGTCTTGGTCATTAAAAAATTTGTATAATTCCAAGTTAAAGCTTGAAATCTTAAGTTTTGAATTATCGAGATTTCACTGCACTCATTTTTTGTTCGTGAAAGTATTGAAACCGCGTGAAATCGTTATGGTCAGAAATTAAATTAAAAGAGAAACATAATTTTCCATGTCTTTCCGAAGTTTAATCAAAAACGAAGAAAGAAACGCTAATCTGATCTGAAATGCGAATTCCTCAGATCGAAATATGCCAAAGACCATATTTTAATATATTTTCTGTTCTATATAATGATTTTGATAAAACCTTAAAAGCATATACAAATATTAATTAAACGTATTAGTTCTGCATTCTTTGAGAGCTTTATGCCCTGTTTATCAAGCTCTGTAAGATTTTAAGTAGAAAATAACAAAACATATGGTTTGTGATATGTTTTTTTAATGTAAAAACCGAATTTTAACTCGATTTAATATATATTTTTCTTAATTTTTTAAGAAATTGCAAATACCACGAACGATTGTTTCTCTTTGATGATTATTTTTAAACCTGCGATGAGCGAAAAAAGGTGTAATGAATATTTGTTGCCATAAGGCTAAGGTTTTTTGTTTTTTTTTTAGTTCTATATATGAAAGACTGCGTAAAAATGACTCAAGCGAGAGTGTGCATATAATTTGAAAGTTAACATTTTGCGGAATTCCTCATACATCCAATAGTTATAGGATAGATTGAATGCATCATCGACTTTAATAGATTGTTGTTGAGCACGAAGTGTGACGTAAAAGCTGTCGAACGGACTAGTATGTTGCGTATAGTGGAGGTGGCGGTATGGCAGGTGAAAAGTCTTTGCACTTCGTGTAATAGCCATTGGCTTGACGATAGGCGCCGCGCCGAGCGCAGTATTGTTCATACTAGTGCCTCAAGCTCTTCTCCGCGCGTGCCTCGGCGACGCTCACAACAAGCGGACGCGCACGTGTGTGTACGTATGTATGTAAGATAGCCTCCTTCGACGCGCGTTACAACTTGCGCGCTGTTAGACCGCACGATCTATCACCTAGCTGCGCGTGTTAACGAACGAGTGAACGGTATGCGTACAGTTATCGTACACATTGACTAAAGTGGGCGAGGTCAGGCCTAGACGTTTCCTTTCAAAATTTTCGAGCTTCAACTCAAATTTCAACGCGACATCGAAGAGTGAACGATATCTGTATTTGCATTCAATTTTTCTGACTCATCGTACGGAGACAGAAACAGCGCTACGCACGTGCAAAACCTTCAATTTTACATGTATGTACATCTATCAGCTTCTCCCGAGGCTACACGATCGAAAGTACTCTTCTTGGCGCCCAAGCAATCATCGACGTCGACATAGATAGAGAGAGAGAGAGAAAGAAAGAGAGAGAGAGAGAAGATGCTGCACGAGAAGCGTCTTCACGTAATTCACCCACGCGATCCTGCACAAAGCAACAGAAGGAGAAGAATTATACCCGACCGGATTGGATCCGGTCGACTCTTGCGGGCAGCTGTACTTAATGAGAACCGTGTATAATAGCAACTCTCTTTATATGTACTTGCCAGAAACTTGATTAATTTTTACGCAAATATTGATTTCTTTTATCCATAATTCCAGGCTCTGGTAACTACGTTATCGCCATGTGAACATACATATATTCAAGTGAAAAATATTAATTTTGCCAACTATCAAAGCAACAGAAGCAGTAGCATTATATATGTATATAACGAGAGAGAGAAAGAGAGAGAGAGAGAGAGAGAGAGAGAGAGACAGAGAATGGGAGAGAGAAAGAGCAATGATAAACAAGCAACAGCTTGGGGAAAAGAGTCAAGTGAACAGTTATTGCCTAAGGTAAATCAGAAAGGATAATCAGTACGGAGATGTAGGCGAAAGTAAGTATACAAGTACTAGTGCAATGGGATGAAGCTATATGAGAGAGAAGTGAATGGAGCGAGCGCGTCGCGCGACTGACCTTGGTGGCTGGGTTCTCGAGGAAGGTAGCGATGCCGGCACGTACGCGGTTCTTGACGCCGCGCACGGTGCCCCTGGCGCTGCGTATTGCCTCCCTTTTGAGGTTCTTGTAGCCGGCGAAGCACTCGTCATCGCTGTTGCCAGTGCCGTCGTTGCTCCGAGCCGCGGAGGCCGCGAGCTCGGCCTTGCTCACCTCCTCGCGCTCGTTCACGTGGAACTTGTAGTGGCGATCGTCCTCGTAGAGGTAACGCGGCCGCTGCACCGCTTGCTGCTGCTGTTGCTGCTGCTGCTCGTGACGAAGCTCGCGACGGCGCTCCTCGTACGTGCACTCACTCACAAGCGGCTTGTCGTCGTCCTGGTGCAGCTCGAGGCTCCTCGACGCGCGAAGACCGAGCGGCAACTCGGCGCTGTTGAGCGAGTCGCAGCTGATGCTGCTCTCGTTATCGTCGCTGCTGTCCAGCTCGGCGCCACTGCTCGTCAGACTACCCGTCCTGTTATGGCGAGCCGATTGCTGCTGCTCTTGCTGCTGCTGCTGCTGCTGCCCGCGCTGCTGCTGCAGTATCGGTCCGCAGGTTGACTTGCTCCGAGGATCCGCGTCGGCCAGACTGGCTTGGTCGGCCTCGAGCAGCAGTGTGCCCGGGGCTTTCTTCTTGGGCAAGGGCGGCGGCGTGCCGTCGAGGTCGCTGCAGGTGCCGCTGTCAAGAGTCTCCGAGGGCGAGCACTGGCCGCTCGCTATGAGCATCGAGCCTGGAGGACTGCTGTAGAAGAAGCAGGACTGCTCCCGCGGCTCTGCCTGCTGCTGATGGTGCATCTCTTCCGACGAAGACTCGCTGCCGGAGTAGAGACTGCCGCCCACGCTTATCCTCAGACAGCTGTCTGCCGCGAGCTCCTCCTCGGGCGCATCGCCGTCTTGATCGTCCTCGAGGCTGAGTCTCACCGCCGAGACGAGCTTGGCCGCGGGCTCGCAGCTCGGCTGTATTTTGATCTTAACGACGTGTCGCTGCGCCGGTGCACTTGGGGCCGGAGCTTCCGGGAGTCTGCTCGGGCCGATGTACACCGTTGCTCCAGCGCCACTGCTGCAGCCATTGACCGGTGACACTGTGCCCGCGGCGGCGAGCGCGTGGGGGGGCGGCCGAGGGCCGGCGTTGATACCGTTGCTAGCGAGGCCGACGCTGGAGGGGGACCTGATCGAGATGATCTGCGAGTGTTCGGGTCTCGCGAGCCCCTGGAGCCCTAGCGTCGACGGGGCGCCGCCACTCATCCTCACCAGCGCGTCCATCCGGTCGCATTCGATCTGTCTCGCGCAAGCTCGGGGGATGCCACCGGCTGTCTCAGCTCGCGATCACTGCCGCCGAACTAGCTGTCAGCTTGCTGCAATCAGCTGACCTCCAGTCGCGCATCACTCTGCTCGCTTGGTCCCTCAGCGAGTTTCGCCTGATCGCTGAAACAGCAATGTTTGCTTTAACTAACTGTTAGCAATTACACCTATTTGTTTGTACATCCTCGACTCTGTTTAGCTTGTTGATCGCATCTTATATGTGCTTTAACGATAAAAGAGAAATCAATCAAAACGCAAAACTACTATGATCTGTTTGTGAACACTGTCTCTCATTTGTCAAGTTTTTCTTGCGTACGGCTTACGTTTTCTTCAAACGCATATCATTTTTAAGTACCTTTTTTAACCACCCGTTACCAAAGTAGATAATATATAAAATTAGTAAAATGATTTTTCGCAGTTTTTCCTCTCATAGTGGGAAGCAGACAAAATTACGGTCCTCAGTTCCTAAGGACTGTTGTTTATTTTTGTCGAAATTTAAATTTGATTTCTACTTTGACTGCCGTTAACTTTTATTATCAAATAAGTATATGTCATATAATCATTCCAATATTCAATATTTTAGATTTATCAATCAGCGAAAATTTATCGTCTATTGCGTCATAAGAGTTACGTATACTATAAGCTTATCCTGGTAAATGAACATCGTTCAACGTAGTAGAAACTTATTTCTAATTTATAGGTCTAATTAGTTTTCTTGCTCTACTTTGATTATACTCGTAAGTGACTGCGCGCCCAATATTAAATTTCAATCGACGCCACAAAGGTTTATTGGAAGCATGTTTTACACGAGTTTTTCTTTAATTTTATAGATAAAGTAGCACTATAAAATATAACCCACGCTATAAATATTACTGTCGTACCAAATCAAATTGTTATCTGCATATTGAAGTGAAATTGAATTTACGGAGGACAAGAATGAACAAAAAGAGTTACTTTTCAATCATGTTAAAATATATACCCATAAATAAATTTTCGAATGATTCTGTCAATCTATTAACCACTGGTGTAAACTAATAGCCATTAATGATTATTGGCAGCTGAATTTTTAGATTTTTTATTTCAAGTGAATTTATGTTTATTTTTGGCAGGCGATATTATTCAACTACCGAGGGTTTATAGACGTCGACGCTGAAAATGTGGGCCGCAATAAATTTTTTACTACATTTTTTCATACTATACTTGGTACATACTGTTGTTTGCGGAGATTCCACAAAAATTGTATTTACTTTTACGAAATTTGAACGAAGTGCATAATAGTATTGGTGTTTTCAAAGAAAACCACTATTGCATCGCTAGAAATTCATTCACGTACGCATGGATGAAGTAAAATTTGATATTACTTATTTCATTTATTTTTTATGTATTTATTATTATTATTATTATTTTTTGTTTTGCTAAGAATTGTCGATAAAATAATGTATTGAAGTATTAATAGGTTTAAATAAAAATATAGGTAGAAAGCTGTTGACCGAGGAGCTAGGGCTCAGATCTGGTATTTTTAAATTTAGGTGAAGGTTCTTGAAAATGAATTATGATGATGGCAATAGAATTTTATATGTAGATATTTTTATTTGAAATATGAATGTTCGTGAAGATGTAAAAAATTACGTGGAGATGTCCGAAAGTTAGCTGACAAATGAGGAATTGAATTAATATGACAGACGAAAGAGAATGATGAAGAGACCACGTCAGCACACATACGCTTTGCAATGCCCAAATTAGATGTGCACTCGTTTTTATCCGCAACAGTATAACAACATACATTCACTTATTCTCTATATAGACATCTCGTATAGAGTATAATCGTACTACGAGAGAGGAAGGAGAAAGGGGAGGGAGGGGGCAAATGAAGGCTCGACTCGAGAGAGTATCCCGAGAGAAGCTACGAGTAGGGGAAAGCCTCGCGAGGAACGCGAACACGCTCTCCGGCGTGCATGCGTACGGGCCTTCAAGGTCGCATTTGCTCGCCGTGGCCACTTTGTAGCTTTCCTTCTCTGCTCGTTCGCTCGCTTACGGAGAAAGAGTCACTCTCCTCTCATAAATGGAGCGTGAGAACAGTTATAGACATTTTACCAACAGTATTCCAATCTTCGAAACTCGCTCGCGCCAAATTATTATTCATCTTTTTTAACGAGACAGTTTTAATCTCTGTATGTTTTTGAATTTATAAATTTTTACAATATTAACTATTGTAAGAGCATACTGCGTGTGATATTACTTCGAAGACTAATAACAAAATTGGAATTATTATTATTAATTTATCAGTCTACTGCAATTTGACTATAAAAGTTATCTTGACGTAATCATATAATTGTTCTGATCTGTGAGTAAAATTTACACTAAAATTGAGTACTCAATATTAATATTCCATTTCACTAGAATAGGAATGATTGCGAAACTGGTGTGCTTTCAAAATATCACATCACTTAGCGTTTTCGCTTTCATCGCGAGGTCAACATAATTTGAAAGTTGAGTTATGAATTGATAATCAAAAGCGATAAATCACGTATTTTCTAAGACAAAAATAGAAATGATCATCATTTATGCAGATATAAAAAACGCTGCCAACTGCATTGACGGAGTGTTTCCTTATGAAGACTGAAAAGAATTATGATATTTTTTGTTTTTCTGCACAAATTATAATAAGCTAAATACCAGATCTTACTAATAATTCAAAGAAATATTTAATACAAGTTTCAATCAAAAAACAATTAATGCAAATAAGTACAGATGCCAGTCGTAAAAGTATCCGCATATCACTTGCATGACGGTATTCAGATTCAAAAAAAAGAATTAATTTTATTCAAGTAAGCATACGTATTATATTTTAGTTTGTGATTCCGATTTGCAAATGTTCTAGTAAACAGGTAAAATTTATTGCGTTTTTCCCCAACGGTTTGTCTAAATGTTATTGTCTAGATGATGACTAATCACTTTTGAAGCGTTCTATCTAGCAGTTCCATCATAAGTAATTAAAGAAATCAACAATGATTTTCAGCTGTCGCTGATGTTTATATTTTTGTCGACAAGAAAATATCAGCGTACATTATAATTCATCAAGTATTACTCCAATCTTGATAAAATTTTAAGCTTTACTGATAAAGTATTTATCATGAAAGAAGTCTAAATAATGAATCAACTGCAGTCTATAAAAGGTTATTTAATATTTTGTCATTGTGATAAATAATACAAATTTTACACAATAAAAATAACTTTTAAATAAGCAGCAACATTACTTCATTATCATTTACTTTCCATTAAAACCTCGCATAATTTAGGTATGTAACATGATTGTTTTGATTACCATATTTAATTAAAGCATTCATTGTACAAGATAAAGTTTGCAAGTATCTTACAAAATGAACTACATCTAGATGAAACTATAAAACTGAAAAATGCACATATAAACTAATAGATAATGATTTAAGAAAAGATGCACATGCTTTATTACTTTTCCTGTACTGTGCAAGACATTTGTTTCATTTGTTTATCGGCGATATTGGTGGTTCTGCGATATGAAAATTTCAACGTGATATCATAGTTTTGAGTTGCAGCTGTTGAATGATTGACACGAAGAAAATTCATTGCTCAACGTGATCCTCAACAGCTGTGATTGGAACGGATGTTTGATGGATTGCTAATGCTGCTATTATCAGAATTATTCTGGCCCTACTGTATACAGACAATGAAACAAGTTTATTTGTTTCTTTTATTAGCATTTTCCACAGAAATAAGGTTCAAATGAAAAACCGCTTTGAATAAATGTCAATAATTGGTTGATCATTTGCTGATTCAAACACAACTAAGCAGAGTGATGATATAGTATAAGCAACATTCCGGCAACTGTAATTATTTCTCTTCGCCATAAGAGTTCAATAATTATGTAATAACACAATAACTTTGCAATATAACAAATTGCGTAATTTAGATGACCCATAGTTGGGCAAATGTACATTTGCAGTAGAAATTTGTCATTAATTCAAAGGGAGTAATACGTCAAAATAATTACCATTATTAGATGTAAACCATTTAAATGCTATCAAATAAAAATATAAGGCACTAATCATGAAGATAAAAAAATTTACAACAATTAACGCAAAATTATTTAAAAACTCGTTAAATCAAGGCTTTTTCAAGGAAGCAAAAATTGTACAAATGTCAAGTGCTAACGTATAAATGGAAACAAGGTTCATTTTGACTATTTGAAAATATCGCAACTTCTTCGCAATTAGACCGATCGTTAATTATTTTCTGACAAATATATAATATATGAATTTATCAATAGAAAGGTGTTTGAGAAGGGAAACGAGAGTTTGACATTGTAATCCGTTGTACTTTTTCATGTTGAAAGAAGGCTCCTAACAATTTCTTACTTAATTTGTAAAATTTTCAAATGAAATTATGAAGATTTCTCGAAGAACACAAAAACAATCGACAGACAACAAACTACATCCATGCGCGTACATAGACGCATAAACACCACAAACATATTTTGCATTTGGAATCTACATGGTATTGACACGATGTATATCAAGCTAACAAATTTGGAAATTTTTATGAAATAAAGTTTCGTCTTCAAGAAAGTAAAATGTGTACGTATAGCGAATTCATATAACCTTTAAATATTTTTTAAGAACAGTCAACTACAAAGCTTGTTTGATCAAAATTGTTGATTATAGCATTGATTCTGTTCAAAAATTTTCTAAGATGACACAAATTTATTAGAACATTATTTAACTGCACAAAAATAGGGAAAAAATTGATAAAATCATAGTATGTCATAAACTGTTATGCAGACTGCGCTGCTATGTAGCTATACTATTAGCATAAAGAGAGAAATCTTAGTAGCTATAACTTTTTAATAAATACCGATATCTAAATATATTTATTATTTCAGTTGATTTATTATCACCTCTAAAATAACATATTAGGTTTTTAAGAAAATCTAAAAAAGATTGAATTTACAACTGAACAAAATATACCGTAAAAATCAACTGATCCCGTCTAACCCGTGTTAAAAAAGTACAATTTGAATATCTCATTTTTAAATATTATTACCTATATTGAATTGTGTTTTATTCTGTAAGTAATGACAAAAGGAACTCATTTTTAACGTTTGAGGGAAATCTAAAGAAACATGGTTTTCAAAAGAACGCTCTTAAAAATTAAAAAAGCTAATGAAGGGAAAAGCTCGACGAAGCTGTCATAAATCAGATAAAAAGCTATAGAACCGAACGTGACTAGATTGTTATCATGGTATATGTATATGTACATGTATATACGTTAATTACTGTGGCGGCATAAATCAAGCGATGCTTCATTTTTTTCACTCTTTTGACTTGTCTTCAGGGCTATCAAAAGTTTAATCATGGAGAGAGGAGTCGTATACGAACAGTGCGCACTTTGCGTGCGAGACGAGTGCGCGGAGCCGCTGCAATCCGAGAATGCCGAGAGAACGCGTTAACGAGCGAGACACGCACACTGCGAGCCTCGCCTTTCTCTCATTCCGCGCGCGATTCGCTTGTATGTGTGCTTAAACATGTATGCGTGTCTCCGTCGAACCGGCTGGTGGTAGCTCACCTGTACGCCTGCGTATGTAAACGCTCGTTTATCCTTCCGCAAGAAAATTTTGCCTTTCTTCACCGCACCTCAAAAAGTCGCGTTTCCACGCATGCTTGTAACATTATAAACATACTTATGAAAGTGGAGTGAGTCTAATATGTTTTTAATTTTCAGAGTAATAGTATGACCTTAGCTTAACAGTTGATTGTTGCTTTGGAATTTTAATATGTTCTTTTTCACAGGCTATTTCAAACAAGTCGAGCAAACTACATTTGTCATTCTTCATTCGTAAACTAATGAAATAAATTTCACGTACCATATTACACTTATCAAAATAAAACTTACTCCAAATGTATAAGTAATCGAATATCACTTGAAAGTATATCAATGTGTTTGGACGATAGCAGTGACAGTAAACTATGTGGCTGTTCAAAAATTGATTTTGATTTATATGACCAAAATTTCAGTTACTTCATATTTCTGCTAATATTTAGTCACACTTACAGAATGCTACATGGATATTACCACTTCGTAAGTAAATGGAAGAATGTTCAACGGATAAAGTATCTGAAATCGAAAAATGCATAAATTTTTATGCCATCATAATGAAATTTTTCAAACGTTAAATTTAAGCACCAAAACTGTAAATTATACTGTTAGTACCGAATGGAAAGTAATGTGTTGCTTTTTAATGTATGCGGGTATGTAAAATAACTGCTTCTCATGCATGCATATCATGTTTGAAATTCCACGATAATAAACGAAAGGATATTTTTATAGATTTTTCATTCATTTTATTGCTATGGTCATAAGATTGAAATAAAAATAAAAGTTTGTAGCTTACTGTAACTGTTAAATTAATTTTAAGGAATAAATCTATATTTACTTTTCCTTTCAAACGATAGGACTCCAATTGTTTCCATTGTCAAGAAAAAAAACATTTTAAACGAAATTTAAGGGTGTAAACAGTCTAATTAGATCGATTCATAATAAACTGAACGCATGATAAAATAATATTAAAATAATGGGCGTAGCTTGCACTTAGCAAAAGCGATGTTATGATACATGGAATTTATCACAAAATCTATTATCTAAATGGCATTTAAAGCGATAATACGAAAATAAAGATAAGTGAGTAATTGTGCATGTGTAGAATTGAGAGTTGATGGCTGCATGAGGAAAGATAAAATCGCCAGAGCGAGAAAGAGAGAGAGAGAGTGCGCGATGTTAATTGTAGCTCATTAACGAGCCAAACAGTGAGTCTACATATTGGGACAGGTATAAACGGATGGTAAGCTGGCAAGGCTATATCAGCGAACGTCCTCGACAACAGCTGGAGAACTTTCATCGACAAGGAGAGTACATTATGTGGTACAGTGATGCAAAGAGCGCGCAGCCTCGATCCATCGACCCACCTTTTCTAAACTCTCGTGAAACACGCGCGCAGCGAGAAAAGACCTTCTTTCTCTTTTTATCGCGCGCGCACGAGAAACGCCTGTGTAAGGTATGCGAGGGAGAGCTACAACACACAACAGATACACTGCTCTTAACTCTCCTCTGCCCCATGCTCTCTCTCTCTCTCTCTCTCTCTCGAATAATAAATTATAGCAGCGCTAATCTCTCACGTTCGCTTCTTTCCGGTTTCTCTCTCGTGCGCAAACACAACTATGTGGTCTTCTTCCTTCTCTCCCCTTAGAATCACTGGTTTAATACCAACATCTAAAGTACCAGTCCCAAAGATTTGCTTCTGATCAAATGTCATTAATTATTCTTATACCTACAGTCGATCAATGAATTATTATCCTTATTCCAATTCACGTTATATCATTCATTTGAATGCACTACCTTTGAAGAAGTCCAAAGAAATTTTTGTTTAATTTCGATGTGACGGCGATACTAATAATTATCGACTGAGAATTAATTATTAGTATGAACCATTGCCATAATGTTTGTAAAATTTCTGAGAGATTATACTTATTCATTTGGCAACTGGTTTTGCGGAGGCTTGGCAAATTCTATTCACGCTTATATTATTTAAATGTATATAAGATCCGAGAATAAGCCTACGATGCAAGTTTTTCAAATGAAAACAAAATAAAATTATTTGTGTAAATGAATTTAAATTTTATTTGAATAATTTTATAGCTTAAGTGATTTTAAAAACTAAAAATATATTATATTTTAAAGACAGTAGTAGGTCAGCAATAAATCAATCATTTACTCAAAAAATCAAATTTTAAGCGTAATGATAATGTAGGCTATATGAATATGTGTTTACATGATCAGTTTGAAACATAAAGAGCCGTCGTATGAATATTTCCATAAACTCCTGGGAAAGTATGCCATTCTGTTCATTTCCAAATTAAACTGGCCCGAAAAAAAGCATAAACCGCAGTCTTATCCTGTAGACAGCGTTCCTTCGTGAATGCTTGAAAACCAGTAGAGCGTATATTTGAAACGCCTACGGTTGTACATAATATACCGAAGAAACGAAGAAAACCGTTGGAAGATAAGTCCAGGACTAAACCAGGTAGTCGAAAACACAATAACCACAGGAATATTTTTTCTTAACGACGAGGTGGATCAACAAATTAAATAAGTGTTGCTCAAGCCCATGTGGGCGATAACAGCGAATTGACCAGTAATCGATATTTTGATTTGAATACAAACTTTGATTAAGCGAGACTACAGCTGAGACATCAAATCGAACTTACTTCTCTTGATTGGAGCGTATGGCGAAACTTGTCAGTACTCTTAAGCAGGTTGAACAGGTTGATCTGGGGAGTCGGGGCAAGGAGCGCAGACTGCACTGCACAGGTTTTAGACTGAGAAGCACATGCACTCGCGACAACAACAAACACTGTCAAAGCACAACAACTGTAATAACCTATTCCAAAACTGATAAGATAGTAGCAGCAGCAGCTCGCCAGTCGTGGTGAGCATATAGCGGACGTAGAAAGCGATGGCTTTACAGAGAAATGGAGATCGCGCAAAAGGCAAATAAGCGCGCGAGGCGGCGAAGCGCTCATTCGGCGAGATGCTTTGGAGCGCGAGCCATCGGTAACTGTTTCGAGCGTATAGTCTTGCAGCGTCGAGTCGAGGCGAGCCGAGCGTTACCGAGTCGGCGCAGCGCTGCGGGTGGGGGCCCAGCTCTCAACGATCTCGGGGACCACTAGCCTTCGCGAACACCGCTGGAGGGGAGAGAGGGCCCGCTCGCGCGTAAGCCGGGAAAGGAGCGCGAGGATCGCGACCGGCAGACTTGGCAAGAGAGAGGATGATGATCGCGGGGCCAATTGCTGCCGGCGGCACTGAGAAAATAAGTGCGATTACGCACTGGCAAGGAGTGGGAAAGCTCAGTTGTCTTGTCGAGTAGATGCTGCCACCTCGACATCACAAGAGTTCTGAACATAAAAGCATACTCCAAATGAGAAAGACAGAGTGAGAGAGAGAGAGAGAGAGATACCGTCACTTGAGAGCGCATCTCTGTGCCGTGACGTTGTGCAAGAGACCAAGATCGGATTGTTTTGCCCAACTTGCAGCCATGCCATTTCTCCTCTCAAGCATGCCAACACCTGTAACGCCTTGCCACTGCATGTCTCTCGTTTCCTCCTCATTCGTAGCGTTCACTACTGCTAGTGCGCCTCTCACTCGCACTTGCGATGCGCTGAGGAATTCTGCCTTGCTGCACCTGACTCTTATACCTATAGTGACGCATCTTTACATATATACACTATTTTATTTTTGTTTTTAGCGATGTTTGCTTCACAGTAGCCCTTTCAACATCAATTTGCTTTCTCGTTAGCTTTATATTCTCACAAAATGATTATAGTAAAATTAAACGATGCTCTCCGCTCTTCAACCGAAAGGAAGAAATTAATTTAATTTTGAGCTTGAAATCAGATGCAAAAAAAGAATAATAATATTCAAATTTAGTCTGATTTTCAAGTGAAACATTAATAATGTTTGGTCTTTCTTTTTTTTGGAAAATACTTTAAAAACGTATTTTCGACTTGGGATAAGTCAATCGACTTGGGATTAATTTTAAATTTGCACCTAATATGAAGAAACAGTACATTACGATACAAGTGCGGGAAAGTAGATTCTTGACTCGTGCGGCGTTTATGTCCGAGCGAAGCGAGTGAAATTTGGAATCAAGTTCTGGGTCTTTACAGTTCTGATGGATACCTTTTCAACTTCGAAATTTATTGCGGCAAAGATACTCTGAAGAGTGATAAATTGTCAGGCTGTATACTTGATAGTCATGATGTAATAAACATGCTATAAATAGTATTTCAGAAAGTATCTTTGCGTAATCGAAATAACTTGCTCGTTTATTTAGATAATTTATACACTAGTCAATATCTACTTGTACAGATAAAAAAATATAGGTTGCATGCAATTGGAACTGTACGAGAAAATAGAGTCACTGTAAAAAAAAACACAAAAAAAGACGATAGAGGTAAGTATGATGTGAAATATGACAAAGTTAGTGGCTTGAATTTTATAACACTCGTTAAATCCGGATTTTAATAACGGATTTTAAATCTGTTTTTATTTTATCAACGGCTGCAGTAGTTAACCCATGAGGTACAGCAAAACATAGACCGAAAGGCGAAAAAGAGAAAAAAAGCTGGATTTCCCTAAAGCGTTTTTTACTTACAATTAGTTACTGGATGATATTGATTTGCATGATCAATGATGCAAAAAAGTCGAATCAATTATACATTCCAAAAAGTGAACATGGATTATATTCATTCATAATATTTAGTCATCATTCACAAATGCAACCATTTTATTCAATAAATGTAATAAAGGTAAAAAAACGTCCAAGATTAAATATTTTTCCATGAGAATAGCAAATATGTATTTAAGTAAGGCTAGAAAACAAAGTATTAGTTATGTTTTAGAAAGAAAGAATTACACACCCCTACAAAACAAATTTTAAGTACCACAAACTAGATCAAGGTATATATATGTTTTTGAGATCGCTGATTCCAATTTCAAGATCGGTTTCACCTGATCAAGTCAAGTTTAAGGTCAAATTCATAGAATTCATCAAAACTAACTTGAAATAGTAAGTCTATAATTTTTCGGGTCGCTGAATCCGAATCCGGGGTCAGTTTAACCCGTCAAGATCATGTTCAGGCTCATTTTATGGTCAAATCCACAAAATTTATCAAAACTAACTTCAAATAGTGGATCTGTAGGGTATCCGGAGTGATATATGAATGTAAAAAGTGTAACTTCAGGCTCATTAAGCAACCTTGGTTTTTATAAACACTATTTCTTGATAGTTTGGATTCTTATGATTTCTCAGAAAGTTTTTGACTACGACCTTAAAACACAACCATAATGTTCTCTTTTTTATTCATTTTTGTAACAAAACTATCATCATTGATCATCTTACGAATCTGGGGTCTGTCAAAAATCTCTGCATTTATTTTAACGTCACTTAATTTAGGAAACTGGTTTCGGAGATATTTATAGCATCTTACATCTTTGTTTTAAAATTTTACCCATTGTTTCATAAGTCCCAATTTAATGTGCAGAGGTGGTATAAGAATTTTTGATGGATCAACAAGTGGTTCCTTTCTTACATTCTCGCAACCAGGTTCGAAGGTTTTTCTCGGAGGCCAGACACTCCTCACATAATGCTTTTCTCGATCTCTACTACTTTGACCTGGAAATGACCTTGAACCTGACCTGATTAGATTAAAGCGACTTCAGATTCAGAATCAGCAACCTCGAAAACATATATGTATCATGATCTAGTTTTTAGTACCTAAAAATTTTTTGTGGAACTGTGTTATTAGCGATACTGTAGCACCCTAACCTGTAAGATCAGAACAAAATAATATTGCAAAACATGTCAAAAGTTTCTTTGCAGAAAATGTTCTTCTACTCAGCACTCATAGAAAATTATAAAACATGTAAATATAAATATGTCTAAAAACAAAAAAAATGGTAAAAAATTTTTTGAGAACTACCTTAAAAAATTCTAAAAAAAATTTTCTAATATTCTTTGATGGATTTCAAACTTTTTTAATCTTGAAACTTTTTCAATAATGTTAATGGACTTTAAGTTACAACTGTTTAAACTTATCAGGCGAAATTGTCCATTTCGGACGCCATTTTAAAATATTCGGAGGTGATAATTAATTTGGAAAAAACGTTTTTTTCATATTCAGACATCGCGTGCACGTTTAAAATTGATTCCAAGCCGATTAGACACCGGAACACCTTCATAAAATGAAATTTTTTTTTAAATTCATGATTTAAAAAATACGTTTTTTGAGGTATGTTTCCAAAAATGAAGGATCACACATCATTTTTTTTAATTTAAGGTACACCATTCGAAAGAGCACACCTAAAAATAGTAGAAAATGTTGATCCTATTTATTTTCAAACATTGAAACTTTAAAACCAATTTTTTAAATCCAACAGTTAAAACCAGTGCGTTTAGGCGTTAAAGGATTAAGAAGAAAATTGAAACTTAGTGCTTATATAACTTGATCATAAGCATATCTTGAATTGATGAGCTTGGATGTGATAAAAAAAATTATGATCAATCATGTAGCGTATGTATTATTTATTTTCCATTACATTCTAATATACCTCAACTGAGACAGTAACAGTAGCATACGTCCATAAACATTCTAAAGGTATATTGAATTTTGTGTTGGTGGTGTATTGGTTCTTTAGTCAGTTGAGGTAGATAATGATGTATATTAGGTTCAAAGAAGAATAATATCATTACTATCCGTTCTTTGTTTTGAGTCAGTATCAGATACACGTTTGATGTTGAAAGCTTTAACTGATTGATTTTCTTGTTTTCTATTCTCGTTTAATAAACACAGTTTAATTTTTTATTAAAATTGTGTTACTTCTTTGTACGAGTATGTGGGATCGCTACAATGTTATTATTTATTATTATTACTATTATTAATTCTTTCCAAAATGAATTTCGCTCACTCTAACGTTCATAAAAACGTAGAAAAAACTTTTTTCGTAAAAAATGAAGTGTTACAGTTAAGAGTTAAGTTAGTTCTTAGGCGCATAATTAAAATTTTGGGAATTAGTAAGAAGATAACTAAAAGCATTTACCGAGTACTTCATACTGAAAAATATTTATGGTGATAACTTTAATAGAATGTTTTTTACTCCATAGTGAAGGAAACTTCTAATTTTCATTGTTTAACACCAGCTGGTCCCCTTAATTTCAGTAATATATGTATATAACAATATTAGTAGAATAGTACAGTATGTACATGGATTGTAGATACATATTATATATCAATAAAATTAAAAAGTCTTTTCAATGTATTATATACCTGCGTAACCAATAAAAACGTTCAACATATCACATTAGCGTTAGAAAAATTGAAAGAATGTTACGAAAAAACAGAAAAATAACATGATCAGAATTTGGTTTGCAAATAACATGATCAAAATTTGGTTTTCAAATAGCTTTCATAAATAACTTTCATATCGATCGAACCAGAACTTTTTCCTTATGATAGATGGTAATCTACATTTTTGATTTAGCTAATAGAAACATTCGTAAGTCATACAAAAAATTTAAAAAGAATATGAACTACTTTCAGGAAAGTTCAGTTCGCCATCTTATTGTATCGTACTGTATATAGTATTGCGGTCAACCAGAAATTCGTAGCCATTTTGTACTTACTTGCTTACGGCTTTTAAATGCGATCCTTGATCTTTGATAACTATTTTTTAATTGAAATTATAAACGATTAACAAGAGGCAAACTTCTCTCCAAGGAAAATAGTATAATTTTATTTTACAATCAGTTGTACGGCATCTTGAGTGTAACAAGTTAATTGACTGTTTGCATGTTTGGAATTGCTGTGCTTTTTTCCTTTTAGTGCTAGCTCTTAATGCTAAAAATGATAAAATTTGTGAATGTGAGTGCATATGGACTTTTTGTTATTGCACATTATTATTGAATAACGTAAGCCATAAGAACTTAATGGAGCAAATCAAGATCCGGTATACGATACTTTCAAAATAAGTGTAATTATTAATAT